GTCTCAGACTTGCGCATTATGGTAACTGTTTGAATAGTCTTGTGTCTCTGTCTCTACACCTATGGCATCCTAGAACTTTCAGACAAAATAATGACCCAATATGCCATATTCTTTGAAATTTTCTACACCTCAGCTTCATGTAATCCCAACCAAAAAGCTAGAGAGAATTATAGAGAGATGGCTCAAAGAATGAGGCTGCTACCTGCCTCTTGGGATCAGTGTTTGATATTGGGGGCACAAACACTTGAACCTGTTCCAGGATATCTGACATTTATTTCTGGTTTCTGGGAACACTTGTTATCACCTCCATCTACACACACACTTGCCCTTTAATAGACATAATTAAAGAGAAGTAAAATTAAAGCATTAAATAATACAAATAAGTCCATGGTATTAATCACGAAGCCTGTCTGGAGGTTGATAACCCCACTGGGTTTAACACATCATAGTATGAAAAAGCTAATGGCAGGTATGGTGATGATGCCCATGTGTGATCTCCATAGCAGAGGACAAAGCTAGAAGACTATGTATGTTTTGGGGTGAGAATCCTGGTTCCTATTCAATGGTTAATACTTAGCATGTCTGAGGGAACACATTGATCCCCAGATCTATCTTCCATGTAGAAGGATGATTTGGAATGAAGGGTTCCATTCTCTTCTCTTGGCAAATGTCAGCATCATCTTCAGAAAGCTCTTCCCAGTATTTTCCATCTTTCCTCCCTCAAGTTATTAAAGCTTCACTACCATGTTTTGTGGGCATGCTTTTTCTTTGACTTATTACTATGGAGTCTGCATGTGAGTCTGTATGTAAGTCTTTCTGTGCCATTGCAGTAATGGTGAGGTCAGAGGGTGCTTCCCTCTGCATCCTTCTCCCTTCCTCTCTCTCTCTCTCTCTCTCTCTCTCTCTCTCTCGCTCGCTCGCTCTCTCTCTCTCGCTCGCTCGCTCTCTCTCTCTCTCTCTTTCTGTCTATCTATCTCTGTGTATCTCTCTCTCTATTTTTAAGAAGTGGTCTCACTACACAGTTCAGGCTGTTTTTGAACTCACTATGTTGACCAGGATACTTTTCAATTTTCAATTTCTTTTTCCCAAGGAAATACTGGGACCACAATAAGGTTTGTGTGTGTGTCTAACAAACGCGCATCCCCTATTATGAGTAGCTGTACCCTTCTGTTGATTTCATATAGTAAATGTGCTGTGTTTCTGGTTTGCTGGTGTGTCTCCTTCAGAATATACAGCTCACTACATTGCAGCATTTCTGTGTACCTATTTCTGTGGGTATGATTTTCCCATCACACTGACCTAGTCAGTCTCAAACCTGTGTAGATTCTGAAACCCTGGGGACAGGCTTCTTTTCAATAGGACACAGAGCACATGGCTTCACACAGGGTTCAAAGTTTTGGAAACAATGTGGTATGGAGTAAGCTCTGTTCCCAGGTACTGAGTTTGATATGAAGAACAATGGGATGAGGTACAGATGTCTGTTGAGTTAGAAAGACAATTGTGTGTTTCCAAAGTATAATTTGGAGCCAGACAATTGTTAATATGTACAGAAATTTGAGGGAGTAAAGATGAGTATTTTTCCAACGTGGTACCCAAAAAAGGATAGTCTGACGCTAGGAGCCTGGAGGAATACACTGTGTTGGCACTCTCAATCACTGCCTTCTTCACTTGGTTCAAGGCCAGGAGAATCCTGCAGCTTCCTAAATGGAACTCATTATGTGGAACAAACTAGCTCCTCTTTACCATGCTCTTGCCTATCATTGAGAATGTTGGGATTCTCTCTCTTAGCTATGAGGCCAAGTTAGTGCATTCTGCTGTTAAACACTGCCATATTAGGACTGGGTCAGGGCCATGCCATGTGTGATCTAGGGGGTCTCTCCACAGGACAGTGGCGAAGGTTTTATTTGTATCAGAGTGCAAGAATATCATGGCAGCAGATTTTTCATCATCATCATCCAGATTTTAAAAATTAATAATGAAGAAAGCATGTGTTAGGATATTTCTTGGCATGCCTTTGTGGGATACCAGATTCCCCCTTTTAATTTATCAACAATGAGCTTCAGAGTGAGGGTAGCTCTTTCTACTACACATTGTCCTTGAGGATTATATGGAATTCCAGTATTATGGTCAATATCCAATTGTTTGCAATAGGCCTTAAAATTGGCACTGATGTATCCAGGTCCATTACCAGTCTTATTATGTTAGGGGGTGTGTGCCCATGGCAGAGAATGCAGCCAGCAAATGGCTAATTCCATGTTTAGTAGTTTCTCCATTTGGGGAGAGGCAAAGATAAAACCACTATATGTATCCGTATTAACATGAACATTTAAGATGGCCAAATTCTATGAGATGGGTAAGATCCATTTCCCAAATAGCATTGGGTAGGACTCCCCAAGGGTTAACTCCCAGTTGGGGAACTGGCAAATGTTGGATACATTATGAACATTTTCATTTACTATAAGTCTGGCTTGTTTCCTAGTAATTTGATTCCCGAGACATAAGGTATGGGCACTGAGGTGATGGAGTGAATGTCCTTTGCACATTGCTTGGATGCCTGTGGTTTGAATGGAATAAGCAGACAGAACCAAAAAACAGTGGTTTGATTGGTCAGCTAAGTGATTGCCTTTGGATAAGGGTCCAGGGATACCCAAATTGTCTAGTTCTTTTGAGACAATTCAGCTGCCTCAACAGCTTACCAGTTTCAGAGATGTTTTTGACCTGACCTATAGTCTCTAAGAGTGGTACTGATTTTGCAATATAGGTACTGTTCTTATAAATGTTGATTGGTTGATCTGAAAAAGCACTGAAGACAGCATGTATTTCAGTCAATTGAGGAGAGGTGGTCTCGGTTTGAAAGTTGGTGACTTTACTATTTCACACAAAAGCAGCTATTCCCATGAAGGAACCATCAGAAAACACTGTTAAATTCATTTAGGATAGGTTCTAGAGGGTAATTTTAGGGATAATAAACTGTTGGTGGTTGGCAAAGTCAACCCCACAGATGTGGAGAAATGGGAACATTCCTCCACTGCTGGTGTGAGTGCAAACTCGTACAGCCATTTTGGAGATCAGTTCCTCAGGAAAATGGGAATTAGTTTACCACAGGACCCAGCAATCCCCCTCTTGGGCATATACCCAAATGATCCACATCCATGCAAAAAAGACATCTGTTCAACTATGTTCATAGCAGCACTATTTGTAATAGCAAGAACCTGGAAGCAACCTAGATGCCCCTCAATTGAAGAATGGTTAATGAAGATGTGGCACATCTACACAATGGAATACTACTCTGCAGAAAAAAAATAATGGTATCTTGAAATTCGCAGGCAAGTGGTTAGCACTTGAAGAAACCATCCTGAATGAGGTAACCCAGTCACAAAAAGAGGAACACAGTATGTACTCACTCATATATGGATTTTAGTCATAGAGCAAAGGATCACCAGGCTATAATTCACACCACCAGAGGAACTAGGATACAAGGTGTATTCTAAGAGATTCATATAAAGTCCCTCACAGAACCAAGAAGGGTCAAGTGCCCCAGAGCACAGGGGAAGTGGGGGGTGCAGAAAATGGAGAGAAGTAGCAGACACAACGAGGGGGAGGAAAGGAAAACACGTGTGACTAGGAAGATTGAGCCCGGTTAGGAATAAAAGACAGGAGAGAGAGAGAGAGAGAGAGAGAACATAAAAGAGGGAGCCAATATTGGTTTGAAGATAAAATTGAACACAAAGAAAGGTCTAGAGAACTACAAGACTGCTGCCAACTAACAATTTGAGCTTCCGTGGAAAGGCTACCATAAATGCCCTTCCAGAGAGTGAGATCAACAACTAACTTATCCATGGAGCCCTCAACTAATGTCTGTTGGAAACAGGAGCAAATACCCATACATAAACACTGAGTTGAAATAGAACCCAGATGCAGATGGAGAGGACAAGACCAGGCGGCAGAAACACATAGAGACAGCTTACCTGAACAAGGAGGAGCTAATGGGTCCCATGTGCCTGACTCAGCCCCCCTGAACATGGGTCTCAGCTAGAAGGCCTGAGCAGTCTAAGAGACCTCAGACAGTGGAACCAGGATATTCATGGTACACAAAAGGACTTTGCGGGCACATCCCCCATGGAAGGATGCTCCCTTAACCTAAACACAGGAGAGAAGTCCTAGTCCCTACTACAAATGACTTCACAGATTTAGGTGACCCCTCCTGGAGGGCATCACCCTACAAATGGAATGGGGGTGGGGTGGGATGAGAGGGTGGCAGGGGTGCATGTGAGGGTGGGAGAGAGAGAAAGAGGTAAGGAGGGAGGGAGGAAGAGAGAGCTGGGGTCGATATGGAAAATAAAATATAATAAAATAATTTTTAAAAAAACATGGCAGTGAAGCTTTAATATCTTGGGGCAGGAAATATTGCAGACTGAGAAGAGCTTTCTGAAGTGGATGCTGTCAAGGGTAGAGAATGGAACCCTATATCCCAAAAGTACTTGAAATCAACCTTCCACATAGAAGATAGAGCTGGTGATCAATGTGTCCCTTCATGCATGCTAAGTATTACCCATAGTGTAGGAATCAGGATCCTTACCCATGAAGGTAAAAAATCTTGAGCTTGTCCTCTGAGATGGAGATCAGATATGGGCATCACCAGTATACCTGCCATTAGCTTTTTCATACTTTGATTTGTTAATCCCAGTGAGGTTATCAACCTCTTGACAGGCATCATATTTAATACCATGGATTTATTTGTATTTTTAATACTTTAATTATGTTTAATTATGTCTATTAAAGGGCATGTGGTGTGTGTGTGTGTGTGTGTGTTTGTGTGTGTGTGTGTGTGTGTGTGTGTGTGTAGATGAACGTGATAGCAAGTGTTCCTCAAAACCAGAAATGAACATCAGATATCCAGAAGCATGTCTAAGTGTTCTGCCAGCCAAGATCAAACACTGGACTCCAGAAAAAGGCAGGAAGCACCCTCATCTTCTGAGCCATCCCTCCAAGAGATTCTCTTAGACTTTCTTACTGAGATTATATGAAGCTGAGGTGTAGAAAATTTCCAAGAGAATGGCATGTTGACTCATTATTTTTCTCTGAAAGATCAGGATGCAGAAGGTGTAGAAGAGTATGCAAACACATTAAGCATAATGCACAAGTCTGAGATTGTCAGGGGAAAACCTCAGTAAGTTAAAAGTCTACAACACACTCTCTCATGCAAAAGCATTTTATTGAACTCATTGGAAACTGTAATGTTAAGGATGGTGGGGAAAATATTATCTAGCTTAAATCTCTCCAAAAGCAGAGAAAGACAGATCTCAGTTGAATAGTGAGAACACTACTCTCCAAAGCAGTTCATTCTACAGTCAATGTTATTCTTCAAAAAGGAAAGATATATGCATATATTAAAAATCTTTATGTACGTTTGACAAGGAAAAGGTGGAGGTCCAGTCCATGATGCTCTTTGTACTATCCTCTGTCTTTATCCCCTTGCCTGTGTATATGGACACTCACACAATGATCGATCTGGGGTGCAATCCATAACATTCTCAGTTCTCTTTTCCTGGCCAAAGTTGGTCTTCGCTGTTGGCCCTGAGGAGATAAGCAGCATCTGATTCTCCATGTCAAAGCTTCTGTCTCTCCTCTGATTCAGTGGAACAATATTGCCCCCATATATCTCCAAAACACCTTGAATATGCATGCTCTACATCTCTAAAGAGTCACTTGAGTCCAGGATTTCATTTCTCAGGCCAGCAGTAATCTCTCATCCTTTATTCCCAACATGAACATAGGGAGGCCTCCTGGTCATAGACACAGAATCCCCGGCAATCCACACATTTCTTACTCACAAAGTAGACCTCATTTGGCTGTCTTATAGCTCTAAGTGTTTCCAAGAGCTCACAACAAAATTGGGCAAATCTGTGTGGCAGGACATCACCAATGTCATCATACACTTCATCAGGGGCAGGGTACATCTCCAAAGTGAGCTGTGTCAGGTTGACAGTATGCTGAAGCAGCTTCTTAAGGCTGGTCAAAGACAGGAAGTTCTTCATAAAATTCACCTCCACCAGCTGGCAACACTGGCTCAGGGCAGGAAGGATGACACCCATTTGGAAGTCCATGAGCATACAACCCTCCAATTTTAATGTCTGCAGGGTAGATGTCAATCTCTCTAGCAGTCTTCCTAGAAGTGGATGACTTAAATTTACAAAGGTGACACCACTCAGGTCCAGATGTGTGAGCCGATGGACGCTTGGACACTGGGACAGGTAACTCATGTCTGATTCTGATAGAGTGCAGCCAGTGATTGCGAGGGTCTCTAAGGGACTTTCCAAGTACCTACAGAAAGACAAAGCAGATTATCTCAGTAAGTATAATAGTGGTAGAGAAAGGACACCAACTTCAAGTGAGCAGAGGTTAGTATGTCCTAAGGTCATTCTGAGAACTTCATGAAGGCCAAGCCCAAGATGCTTCCTGATGGAGAATTAACAACACAGTCACCATCATGTGACTGCTTAGGTCCCCAAATCTTGTTTCTTTGCACTGTCAAACACAAAACCTCATCAGATGACAAATGGGGCCATCAGGAATCCAAGAAGGAACACCTAGTACAAACATATAGCCATACCTGTTTGTGCTAGCATTGGTCTCCATGAGTCCCACCTTCCTAGCACAGCCTCTGTCCTACATAGAGGATTTCTCTGTGGTCTTAATCACACTCAGTTATTTTTCATTGACTCAGGCCATACCTGTGCTCAGAGAGACCCTGTCCCTTGGAGAATCACAGAGAAATGTAAACTGTGCATACAGTTCTGAGGTCAGTGCTGACATAGGGCAACATGTGTTTTAAAACCTCATCCCTTCCGTACATCTGGTTTCAAAGACCTTTTCTAGATGGTGGTTGCTAGAATAGCAGAAAGACTACTAGATCAATCATTTTAAGGTCATATACATATGTACTCACCAGTGTCTGGCAAGCCCAAGGTGTACACTTATGTTTCATGTAACACGGAAAGGCTCTTCTTGGGCCTGTGGAACAACCTCTTTATCCTTCCTCACCTGAGCACTTGGTCCAGTCTTGAATTAAGGAAGAAGACACGATTCAAATAGAGATGCTGGAGATTTTTGAGTTGGGACAACTGGGAAATGATCTGTGTAAAACACCATTCCTTCATCTCTCGGTTGGAAAAACAATTCAAGGGCATGAAGATTTCTTTGATACATAGTTTCTGAAGGGTTTTCATCTGACCTAGGCCAGGGGAAAACTTTGCAAGGGTCCTCATATCCCAGCAAGCATTCACTTCCAGTTCCTGTATGTAGCTTGGCTCAAAAACCTCCAGCAGCTCTAGGGGGTTATAGACAGGGAGGGCCCCAAATTCCAGCTTTTCACAGATCACCTGCAGCACATCTTTTCTCTGCTGGGCCCAGCAGTGGAAATATTCCAGGTATTTACAGAGATGGCTGGAATTGAGGGAAAGGTTCATCATCACAGTCACAACCTCTTTTCTCTGTCTTTCAGGATGGTGCACCACTGGTTGGGTTTCTCTGACGACATCTGGAGAGCAGACCATCCTCTGTTCCAGCCCACACATTCCAGAAGTTATGACAGGCATCCCGAAAATCAAGCACCTTTAGTTTACAACTCCTGTTGGTCAAACAAGAAGGGGATTCAAATGGCAGGACTACCAATTTATAATATGCTTTCACCTCACACATCCACTTCCCTTGCCTTGAATGCATCCTGGAAACCAAGACTCAAAAGTTCCCTTTCTAGGGGCTGGCGACAGAGGCCGTGGTAGACTCATTGTGTGTTGACTACATCTCTTAGCAGTGTGCTCCCTGCACCACTGTCTCTTTTCAATTATTCACTTCTCTAAGAAAGCTCTCATCAACTCCATCTACATTCTCAACTGTGTAGTCACTTCTCTGCATCCACACTCTACCCCTCCATGCTCACACTTTCTCACTCACCTAGGTCGATCCTTCTGCTGAATCAGCAGATCGAGGCCATCCAGCACAGCCTCCAATATATTCATGTCATGAAATTTCATCAGGGCTCCCACAGGAAGGCATCTGAATGGCCAGGCTGCCACCATAGCACTCAAGATGTTTGTTTGTTTCCCCTTAAAGGCATCTTTGAATAGTGGTGGGAAGAGTTCCATGGGAAGGTTATTCAGAGCGGAGATAACCAAGGCTTCATTTTTGAGCAGACTACTTCTTGCTAGCATCTGTAGTGTCAAGGGCGAGCTCATCTTGACCTTCACACACACAGGTGCTGTAGAAATATTTAGAATAATAAACCCTTTCAGGTGAAGTACTTTTAGCAGGACACTTTGCCCCTTCTTTGCATAAACCATGCAGGGCTTTGGTCACTAGTCTAGAAATGTTGGAAAACCTGTGTTTCGTATTACACACTGTCTGTCTTTCACATAGCCATATGTCCCTCAAAAGCCTCATGGACAGAGCACCCATGGCAACAAATCTCCCTGTTACTCTGCCAATCACAACCACTGCTCCCCTGTTTACTACAGCCCTGGGCAATGAGAAAGTGGAAAATTAAACAAGAGCTAGACTCTTTTGTGGGAAATCATCTTCAAATGCCTCTCGTGATCCTCAGGAGCAAAGTTAAAGATCCCACAGCCAAGTATGCTTTGCATTCAATCAATGGAACTTGTTGGGAGAACGTGTGAAATGGATACAGTCACTATCATTTCTAAAACTTTAGACTGGAGCCACGATGATCCCTAGATCACTCTTTAGGAGTATGAATACTGACAGTTTGTCAACTTGATGCTTTCCTGAGACTTATGGCCAACTGTCTGCTTCTATAGAATTTTCTTCACCTTCAGTTAACAAATCTATAATGACTATGAATGAAATAATTTTAAGGTAGACTGGAGTTGTTGGTTAGTACTTGCTCAGTGTGTCTTAACTCTTGAATATTACAACCTCAGCACTCTCTTAAAGGGCACAACATGTTAGCTCCAGGTCTCAGTACTTGTAACCCTTAGCTACATGTAAACTTCTAGGCTATTCTGGGATAATTGAGATTTTTCACCTTCAAATAATAACACCAAAATTAACAATATCAAGATTACTAAGATGACCTGAGAGATGGGTGATCCTTGGTAAGGTTGTGTGTCCTATTGGAGGTGTATGGATTACCAAATCAGGACACACATAACAGGTGTTCCAATCCCAGCACGTGTGGTAGTGGCTTGAGAATCCAACAAACAATACTTACTGGCCATGATAACTCTTATATGCCCATTTCCTCTTACACCTTCCCTTTATCCCCCATCTCTAAGCCAAAAGCTGCCATCTGATTGCGTAATTGACATGTCCTTCACCAAGTCCTAATTGAACTTTTACATCCCTGGCTAGGGAGAATTAGATGTGTAAAAGGGGGAAATCCCAGATGTAGTAAAGACCTAAGAGCCTCTCTAACACTACTCCATGACCAGGCATGGGTGGCTCATGCCTTTAATCCTAGCACTTGTGGCACACATACACCAGATCTTTGTGAGTTCAAGAGCAGCCTGTTCTACAGATTGAATTCCAATACAGACTGCTAAGCAATACACAGAAACCCTGTCTTGAAAAACCAAAATCATGACAAAACAAAACAAACAAAAAATTTCTCCCCCAATTTTCATTTCTGGGATTTACTCTCATGATTACATGTAGACATTTTTAATTTTTCCATATAAATTGGATCAATGTAACTCAGCCCTATCTGAACACTTTATTCATTCTGAGCTGGCACGGAAATCTCAGTAATCCTCCTAACCTGAGTGTAGTGGTATAGCTTGTATGTGACCAGTTTGATTAGATCTCCCATCAGGAAAGAAAATGAACCAAGTCTATGGTGACAGTAAAAGCCCATTCTCCAAGTCACCTCAAACACTAAGGATTTGTTTATGTATTGTTAAATAATTAATTTTATAGTTTTTGTCAGCTTTCCATTTTATGGAATCATTGCCATGATGAGTGGAATCTATACTGGGGTTTCAGTAACCTTCCTACCTTAATGGAAGAGTATCTACGCATGGCATATTCAGGTTGATTAGATCTACTTTCAGAACAGAGAATGAACAGAGTAAGAGCCTGGGGAAAAATTACAAAATCACTTGTATTGTTTTTCTGAGACAGCATTTCTCTGTGTAACCACTCTACATTCCTGGAACTCTGCTCTGAAACCAGGCTGGCCTGGAACTCACAGAGATCTGGATGCCTCTGCCTCCAATGACCTGCTATTAACGTTGCGCGTAGCAAGATACATAGCAGATCCAGAGACAGATATTGGGGTTCAACCTTAGCTGAAATACAGAGAATCAAAGCACCCAAGCCACTACCTCTTACCTTTTTGAAAGAATGAAAGAGTTGATCCGGTTACCACAAGCTCTCACCAAGTTTTAGACTCTTACTAACCTTGTGGAGGCTGGAGAATCCTGAGACTACTGAAGACCCTGCTTCTATCTTTTATACCATTCTGGTGCTGGGATTAAAGGTGTGAGCTCTCTAACTGTGTTCCAGGGTTAAAGGTGTGTGCTATGGCTAGCTAGTAGGGATGCTTTGATATTTTGATCTCCAAGGGCTTTAAAAATCATGAACAATATATCACATCAGAGGAGTGTCATCATTACTAAAATTAGGATTTCTTCTCTTTCTTTTTTTCTTTCTTTCTTACTTGCTTTCTCTCTTTTTTGTGTATGGGTGTTGCTTTCTTTTCATTTTTAATTTTTTTCAGACAGGGTTTATCTGTGTATCTTTGCAGCTTATCCTGGAGTTGAATAAAGAGAGATCCCACTTCCTTTAGCTCCCAAGTAATGGGATTAAAGGTGTGTACCTCTACCTCCCAGCAACAGGAGGACCACTTACAAGCTTGTTTGCTGTGCTGAGTACAAGCTTATCTATTGGCCTCACTTGTAATCCATAAATAGTCAACTGTGCTAAGGTCTGGAAGTCTACCAATTCTAATGGCCCATCAAGTAGCCATTACTAAGGAAGATGAGAAAGAAGGCACAAAGTCAACATCTGCCTAGAATTCAGAGTGAGCTCAAGACCAGTATCAGGGATTTATGAGACTTTGTTTCCCACAGGAAAACATGAAATGATCTGTGAGACATTCACGGTGTCATATTTAATACCATGGATTTATTTGTATTTTTAATACTTTAATTTTACTTATCTTTAATTATGTTTATTAAAGGGCATGTGTCTGGTATGTATGTATGTAGATGGTGATGACAGCAAATGCTCCCAGAAACCAGACTAGAGAAATGCTGGGTAGGAGTGAACTGTGTACTCTGGATGAGACATACCAGCAACCCAGAAACACAGCACATTTATCATATACAATCAACAGGAAGGTACAGCTACTCATGGTGCTGGATCTCTGTGAGGATCTGTGTCAAGGTATAATAATCCCAGAGAGGAATTCCTCCATCCCACACACTGTGTTTCCATATCTCTATAACAAGCAGAAACCATCCACAATTTATTACTAGCAAAGGCAATGTGTGCTCTCCAGGTCATAGACACAGGATTGAAAATATTTATAGCAGAGGGTTATCGCAAAAGTGACTGTCTTGGGCTTTCTTTCAGACCTGAGTATATCTAGGATCTCAGGATAAATTTGGTCAAATCGGTCTACAAGTACTAGGTCCCTGTTGTCATAGCAATCCAGAGGGGCAGGGTATAGCTCCTGGGACAGCTTGTTCAGCCTAGCTATGAGATGAAGCAGATGCTTCAGGATAGGCAGTGAAAGTTTATTACCATAGAAACTGTCCGTGAGGAGCTGAGGGCATTGCCTCATGGCAGGCATGAAAGTACAGAATTCAGAACCCTCTAGCCAACATTTCCTCACTTCCAGAGTTTGCAAGGTGGCTTTGACTCTCTCAAGGAGAATCCCAAGTAGTCCAACCCAAACACCTAAAAGTGAGGAACTCAGGGACAGACGTTAACTCAGAAAGGTTGAGAAACTGGAGAAGGTAATCCAAGTCTGAGTATGAGAAGTGGCAGGAAGTGATGCACAGGGTCTCCAAGGGCTTCTCCAGACACCTTGGAGGGAAAAAGAAATGGAAGTTTAGTAAATGGTATTGAAGAGGAAGGGAAAGCAGGCAATGAAGCAGAAGGCACTTCTGAAATCACTGGGATTTGAGATCTGCTAACAAAAATCATAGCTTGATGTGAATCCAATGGGTATCACCACTGACCAGGCTCAGGGCAGAGTAGAAAACCACAGTGAATTTCTAACAGGAGGATCAAGCATGGCAGTTGTAGGAAGGACTGCCTACCACAAACCAGCTTCAGCAGCTCCACAGGGGCTTCCATGTAGACTTCCCTGACCGCCTTTCCTCTACACTGCCATGTCCTGTTCCCACAACTCCAGTGTCAGTGTCACACACTTCCCACTTACTCAATCCCTTTCAGGACAATGAAAACCCCTTCACACATGAGCTATTAGAAGCATTCTGGGGCCTGGTCACACGTATCTTGTCACAGAGCTCATCAGCTTGGATATGCAATGTTACAGTATCCAGTCCATCAAGGACCTACTAACCTAAAAGAAAGAGAGGTGGGTTTTATGTGGGCTGATGGATCCCTCTCTATTCTTCCTCACCTGAGCCACTCTGTCAGGCAGAGTACTTCAACATAGATAGCATGTAGAGATGTGTAGACAGTGGAATTTGGGCGATTGTGAACACAATGTGCTTAACCATCCTTCTAAGCTCTTCTGATTCATTCATACTGATTGTAGTCCATATGCCTTCTAGAATGAGTGTGTGCAGGTTTCTCATCAGCCCCAGGTAAGGTCCAGAAACTACCATTTCTTGTATCCGGCAATACCTCAGTTGCATTTCCCATACACTGTGAAGATTCACAGATAGTAAGATCTCTATTTCCAGGGGATACAGATAACATCAAAATCTGAAGTTTCCAGCAGCATAGATGAGTGGAATGTTTTCTCTGATAGGCCTACTGCAACAAGTACATGACACATTCATTGAGCTTGCCACTTACAAGTTTGAGTTCAGTTGCCACGTTCAAATATTTCTTCTCCCCTGAGTCAGGGCATGTCTGAATTGGCTGCTTCTGTCTAAGGACTCATGAGAACAGTCACATTCAGTTTCCAGTGCATATTCTCCAGAAGTCTCAGTCTACAGGCATCAAATCCAGCACTCTGACTTTTCCTCTTCTGTGGGAGAAGTGAGTAAAATTCTCACCAAACAAAACAAGAAACACATTACAGTCTCCTTCTTATCCACAGCTCACATTTCCCCTATGGCTTTATCCTATGCATAGAATCAGGCCCAGGACCTCATGCTCATTATAAAGGGAACTTGAAAGGGAGGCATACTCAGGCCTGTCTCACTTTCTTCCATTCCATTTCCTTAATCCCAGCCTCATTTCACCTGTACCTTTGAGGTACAGGTCTTCCTTTGTGATATTCCTCAGTGGCTGTGTCTATACTTTTGTGTTCTCCGATATTTGACATTATTGGCCAAGATGCCTAAGACTGGGCCTAAGCCTCTACGATCTTGTAAGTAGATGCTATGAAAATCCTCTAATCCTCCTTTGGTCAAATGGTCCTTGTCCCCACTTTTTCATCTTCTTCAAACACAGAACCAGCCTTCCTCCATCCAAGCTGGGTCTGACTTACCTGGACCAAGCCTTCTGTGGAGTAAGCATATCTATTCCATCAAGCAGAACCTTCCAAGTCTCCATATGTGGGGCCTCTATCAGGGATACAAAAGGAAGACATGAGAAGGGACATGGCCCTCGGGATGTTTGTATGTCTGTTGTTGAAGGCCACCTCAAACATTGCTGGGAGCAGCAAGCTGAGCAGGATCTTCTGAGCAGTAATGGCTAAGCCTCTGTCTTCACTAGGCTCTCCATGGCAAGATGCTGGAGTGGTGATGGGACTTGTTCTCCCATTATGACTTTCTTATAATAATAAATATTCTGGAAAGCATGGAAGAAAGGTTACCATTAACAACAGGAATCTTAGCAAGCCCTTCAGTACATGCAGGGAGCTTTCAGGGCAAGATTACTGCTGTGGTGATAGTGGAGACCACAACTTACCAATTCTAATCATTGTTGGATTTAAGGACACAGTTCAACTCTCTGGGGTGTGAAGTCTCTCCAAAGCACCCTTGATCCTACAGATCCCATCCATTTGCAAACACAGCTCATTTGTACATCCTGTTGGAAAGGGATCACCCCAAAGCCTGAATGCTAACACAAAGTCTGGATTATGAATAGACTGTACTCAACTCTCCAACTCTCAAAGAAAGCAAAGGAATCACTCAATTCCCAAATTATCCTCAGTCTCCAGTCACTCAGCTGACCCTGGCTGGAACAACTGAGGGCATCTGTGAAATGAGTACTGTTAGCTACTAGGGACAATTGTTGGTTTCCAACTGGAGTTGGTTGCGTGCAAAGGAGGCAACAGGGCTGCCCGCTCCAGCTCTCCAAGCTACAGAGCTGAACACGGTGGGACACAAACATTAAACAGAATCAGCAAACTTTCAGTTGACATCAATGTTGACTATAACCATATAAAGCATCTGCAATAAGAAGACTAGGAAAAAAAATAAAGATAATGAGCACCAATAAAAAAATGAAAACAAAATTAAAAAGACATCACAAGAGACACAGATGATAATTAACACCTTGGAGGCAGGAAACTCAGTAGTCAATGTCATAGTTGTTTACTTGGAGAGCAGCAGAACAGCCTTCCCCAGGTCTTCAGAAACCTAAGCAGGGAGGGGTTTCATATTAAATGTCAACTGATAGTTCAGACTTTTCAGTTGAAGACTGAATGAATGGAAACTGACTGCTTTCTGCAAGGTGGAGGGGAATATAGTCTCCAGGAAGAGAAAAACTAGTGTGTCAATCAGCATAAACAAATAACTTTCTGTTTCGTTTGGTTTGGATTTGTATTTAGACACATGTTTCTTGACACTGGCTGATTTGGAACTCCCTCTGTAGACCAGGTCCACCTCCAACCCAGAGACCCACCTTTCTCTCTCTCTCACCTGCTGTGATTACATAGCATACCAACACCTCCTGGATTGGACTCACTGTTTAGACAAGCCTGGCCTCACACTCAGAGAACAGCCTGCCTCTGCCCCCTAGTGCTAAGATTAAAGACTTGCATATGAATGCCCGAGCTTAAAGACAAAGATAAGCCCTGTCCAGGCATTTGAGGGACTCATATTTGTCTAGCTGGCCTGAATAGACTAGAGTTCAAAGTCACCCTGATGTTCTTAGTGGACTCTGAGCTAGAAAACCCAGAAATCCCCAATGACCCAATTCACTCTCATAAACAAACAAGAACACTGGCATTTTCTTTTTATAGGTTGCTGAAATGAGAGAATCTATGTGAGAATTTATTAAAAAACAAAAACAAAAGACAGCAAAAAGCCAAAGGAATCAAAAGATTCAACAAACTAAAAATACACACAATAGTAAAGTAAGGGCAAGCCTAGATTAGTCTGCAGGAGATAGGGTGTCCTGATAAAATTGAGGGACTTACCTGATGTGGACCCTGGTAAGAGGCCTCCAAATCCAGGCAGGGGCAGGTTGATTCCAGGCTCTAAACTCTGAGGGTTCCTCTAGCTGATCTAACCCTTTATACACCTGTCCGCTGAACCCACGCTTTGTAGCCATGACCTCCAAAGTGTGCAGTCCAATTCAGGAATGGAATATCCACCCACTTACTCCTTTGAGATTTAGATAGTATACCTGGTTAAGATGAAGTGTCAACCCAGGAGAAAAGATAAACTGTAACTACATTTAAGAGTTCATTCACTGAAGCCAGGCAGAAGTGTCACATACCTTGAACCAAGTACTCGGGTGGCAGGGGCAGGCAGATTTCAGAGTTCAGGGCCAGGCTGGTATACAGAGTACATTATTGGACAGCCAGGGATACACCGAAAATCCTCTTCTTGAAAAACATAAATAAATAAATAAATAAATAAATAAATAAATAAATTTTAAAAATGCATTCGTTGATCCAACACATAAACACTGAGTTGTTAATTTTGCATCATATATACCTAGCATTTTAATTTTGTGAGATGGGATTTCACAATGAAGCTAAGGTTATCAGGAACTCGTTATGTTGCCCAAAATGGCCTCCCATTCTCAACAAGAGTCCTGCCTCAACCTGCCTTGTGTTATGGGGTGAGCTGCCACATCTGTCTGAGACTGCTTTTTACATGAACAACATTGTTCTGAGACAAGGCTGGCCTTGAACTAAGAGTTTCACCTTCTCCCAAGTGCTGGGTTAAAAGGCTTGTGCAACCTTGCCTATCTGTAGAAATTTTTTTCTAATGATTCTTTTCTCTTCTTTTCTTTCTCTATATTCATGTGTGCGAGCCTTTGCCTGTGTGTATGCAACAATTGTACACAATATGTGTGCTTGTATACTCTGCAAGTCGGAATGAGACATTCTCTAGAACTAAGGGTAGAGTCCATTTGGAGCTAGGAATCAAATCAGGGTATCATGCAAGTTGAAAAATTGCTGTTAACCAATGAGCAATTTCTTCATCTACTAATTGCAAATTATCATTTAATTAATTATCACATAATTTAATAAACTATCATTTCGTTAAACAAGAATTTATGTTGGTTTTCATCTCAGTATAGACATAAGGATCTCTGTCCATCTGTACTTAACACTGGATAGAGGAAACAATATCCATGCCTCTTAAGCCAACTTTGTAGTTTTTGTTAGGACTTAAAAGTGTAAGTCTAAGGTCTCTTAGACTGCTCAGTCCTTCTGGCTGAGACCCATATTCAGGGGGGCCTGAGTCAGTCCCATGCTGGCTTCCCAGCTATCAGTCTAGTGGCCGTTAGCTCCTCCTTGTTCAGGTAAGCTGTCTCTATGTGTTTCTGCCGCGTGGTCTTGTCCTCTCCATCTGCTTCTGGGTTCTAGTTCGACTCAGTATTTATGTATGGGTGTTTGCTCCTATTTTCAACAGGCATTAGTTGAGGGCTCCATGGAGAAGATAGTTGTTGATCTCACTCTCCGGGAAGGGCATTTATGATAGCCTTTCCATGGAAGCTGAGATTGTTAGTTGGGAGCAGTCTTGTAGTTCTCTCGACCTTTCTTTGTGTTCAATATTATCTTCAAACCAATATTGGCTCCCTCTTTTATGTTCTCTGTCTCTGTCTCTGTCTCTCTCTCTCTCTTTCCTATCTTCTATTCCTAACCAGGCTCAATCTTCCTGGTTGCACAGGTTTTCCTTTCCTCCCCCTCATTTTCTCCTACTTCTCTCTCCATTCACTGTCCTCCCCCACTTCACCTGAGCTCTGGGGGAGTTGTCCCTTCCCAGTTCTGTGAGGAACTTTATATGAATCTCTTAGAACACACCTTGTATCCTAGTTCATCTGGTGATGTGAATTATAGGCTGGTGATCCTTTGCTCTAGGTCTAAAATCCATATATGAGTGAGTACATACTGTGTTCCTCTTTTTGTGACTGGGTTACCTCATTCAGGATGGTTTCTTCAAGTGCCATCCACTTGCCTGCGAATTTCAGTATCCCTGGTGCACAAAAGGACTTTGCGAACATATCCCCCATGGAGGGATAACTGCCTTAATCTAGAGACAGGAGAGAAGCCCTAGTCCCTACTTCACAGGACCTGTCAGATCTACATGACCCCAACTGGATGGCATTCCCCTACATATGGAATTGGGGTGGGGGGATGGGAGGGAGGGTGTTTAGAGTGCATGTGAGAGGGCAGAGAGGGTAAAAGGGAGGGAAGGAGGGAGGGCTAGGGGAGGGAGAGAGGGTGGGAGGGAGAGGGAACTGGGATCGACATGTAAAATAATAAATTAAATTTTAAAAAAATGCTTTGACTCCAAAATTTAAGTTGAAGGACAAGTTACTGGGGAAAAGGATTTCTATTTTTGTTTCCACAGAAAATGAAAAGATGTGGATTCCTTCCAGACTAATGTGGTTTGATCACGCCAGACTGCCTGAAACAGAGTACAAGCTAATCCTACATTCAAAACAGCTGGACAAAACAGCCCTACAGACTACAGCCAGGATATCTGAATCTTCTTCGAATCCCCCCAAGACAGCGCCCCTTACCAGCAGGAAGTAGTTTGGAAAGAACGACGCCCAAATTCCCAAATATTGTGTATAAATGTTTGTTTTCATTTAATTGGACTTTGTTATATAAAAATTAAATAAAATAAAAAATGGTTTAAAAAAAGTGTAAGTCTAACTCACAATATATATTTTAGCACGGATTGGCAATGCTAGTATATCTAAATCTTTTATACAGCCAGAATCTAGAAGGTGGTGGTACACACTTTTAATCCTAGGACTCAGGGTTAAGAGATAGGCAGGTGTCTGTAAGTCCAATTCCATCCAGATCTACACAAGAGTTAATCAGTCTAAAAGGAATTATAGCTCACACCTTTAATCCCACCCAGGACTAGAGGTGTACAAAAGACAGGAGCAAGGAGGGTATGGGACATTTGTCATGCAGCCATAATGAGAATAGAGACATTAATTCTCCAGCCACACTGAGAAGAGGTTACAGTCTGAGGCTTGGTGAGAGCTCATGGATTCAGCCTGAGATAGAGGTAAAAAGCTATTGGCCACTTGCTTTGCTTTCCTAATATTCAGCTTGAAGTGTGAACCCCAATATCAATCTATAGATCTTTTATTAATTTGTGTTACAGTCATCAGGCCATAAAGTACATGTGATGTGTACTTTATAGATGGGTAATGGTCTAGGGAGGGAAGAATCTGGGGTAATCATTGTGGGAAGTTTGGGTGAAGTCTGCCTCTATAGAGAAATGTAGGTGAGGTCTGCCTCCACAGATAACAAAAGCTCACTAGGTCCTTAACAAAATACACTCTGGGTTTTCTGGGTGGAATGTTGCTGTTGGTTTTTATCTCCATTGAGGAGACACCAATGCATGATTAAAATTACTGGCATTCTTAATGCTGTGACTATAAGGACCTCTGTTCTGTGTCCCCAACAATCACTAACTGTGAAAGAGACCCGTACCTTACCAGCTACCAGAGCAACATTTTCGAGACTATATTTGCCTCTCTGAGGCCAAGTCATCACTTGGGAAATGCATAAGTGTCTGACTCTACCAGTCTCCTGTCCCCTCTTTGTATTGTTCTCCATGTCAGCCTCCGTCTGTGATCTGAATGAAACCTTTGCACACCAATTTCTTTCCAATATATTTAACACTATGAAGCCATGTGCAATAGATCTTCATGATGACCTGTACAGCTTTAAGACTGACCTGAGTAGGGTGATGGGGAATTAAACAGGTATTGAAATCCTGGGAACAAGGTGGCTGTGTGCTTTGATGGACACACTAACAACCCAAAAAACTCAACACATTTATTATATGCAACCCAGGAGGTAAACCTTGTACATACACTCCCAACACTAGGTTTGCATTCTCAGAAGCAACCTTATCGTACATATGAACAAAGGCAAAGTCTGGCCTTGTGGTTGTAGAAACAGGACTGATAACAGACAAAACAGATTCTTGTAGCAAAAGAGACTTTCTCGTGCTGACTTTCTATCCTGAGTATATCCAGCAGCTCAGGACAAAGTTTCATAAACTTGTCTCTAAGAATTGTAATGTCCTCAGAACATTCCAGAGGGGCAGGGTACAGCTCCTGGGTCAACTTTCTCATCTTGGCTGTGTGATGTAGAAGGTTCTCCAGGACAAGCAGAGAGATATCATTATGATAGAAATTGATCTTGGTAAGCTGGGAGCATTGGGTCAGGGCAGGAAAGATGGCATTGAAATGAGAGTCTGTCAAATTTTAGGGGTTTTAGGGTACTTATGATTCTCTCAAGGAGAACCCCAAGAAGCTTAGGGCATGAATCAGATAGCTCTACACAACTCAGGTTCAGATGTTTGAGCTCACAGACAATCAGGCACTGGCTTAGGTAATCCAGGTCTGAATGTGAGAGCCAGCAGTCAGTGACTTACAGGGTCCCCAAGGGGTTAGTCAGGTACCTAGGGAGAGATCAAGAGATTAGTTATGCCAAATGGTATTGAAGAGGATTGGTGGGATTAAAAAGCAAGGCAGATGATGCTTTTCCCAAATTTAGTCTGTCCATATGATGGATTCAGATTCATTCTAGCAGTGTCCCTAAGAGTCCCCTGATGAGTATGTTCCCACCACAGTCATGTCCCATATCCCCTGTCCCTAACTTCAAGCCTAGTATCATATATTTCCCATCTATTCAACTCCTTTTTAGACAGCAACCTTTCACACATGAGCAATTACAGGCATGCTTGTGCCTGTTCACATATGTCTGGGCACAGAGCTCATCTGCTGGTTGTCCTATATGTCCACCACTGCTAGGTGAACAGTGGGTAGACCATCATGACCCCCTACCGGGTAAAGAAAAGGATGTGTTTGATATGTTCTGGAGGACCCTCTCCATCCTTCCTTACCTGAGCCACTCTTCAAGGCATCCTGTTACAAAGTAGATGCCATTTGCACAGAGATTCTGGAGACAGGGGAGTTTGGAGAACTGAGAAAGCAACAGTTTTATCCATTCCAGCTCTGCAGAAGCATCTGCCCTGAAGGGCTTCTGAATTATTTCTAGGATGAGGGTGTGAAGATTTCTCATCTGTCCCAGGTAAGGAAAAACGTGTGCCATGTATTGAAGCCACCAGTGACTCAACTGCAGCTCCCGGATACAGTCTACATTTACCATTTTGAAGAACCATGTGGCAGTGAAGATGGGTGCATCCAAAATATGCAGCCTTCTACAGCACACATGAACGGAAGCTTCCTGCTGCTTGGCCCACTGCAACAAGTGTGCGACACATTCATTGAAACTGACTCGCCTGACTTCAACATCAGTTACTACCGTAAAAGATTTCTCCTGCACAGAGTTAGGACACATCTCCACTGACTTTTGCTGCCTCATGGCTTGTAGCAAGCAGTCACCTTCATGGCTTCTAGCATTAAGGCTCCAGCAGTCAAGGTTCATGTTTATCAAATCAAGCACTCTGAGTTTCGACCTGTTGGTAAAACAGGTAGAATTCCCAGAAGATGAGACAAGACACATCTTACAATCTACTCCTTGTCTACATATCACATCAGCTTTCTCTTCCAAATCTTTGCTTTTTCCCTTTGCCTAGGGTCTAGCCCAGGGCCTCATGCTCTGAGAAAATGGAACTTTGCCAAGGCAGTATCTATAGCTCCATCTCACTTCCTTCTATTCCCTTCATGTTAACCCCAGCCTCGCTCCACTTGTGACTGCGGGCCTGGCAGGGAGAGGCCTATTCCTCAGTGACTATGTCTACTCTTATGTTGTCCACATTTGCCATCATTTGCCCAGATGGTTGACATCTGCCCAAACCTCTACCATTCTCTAAGCTGATGCTGTAAGAAGCCTCTGATAGTCTCTGACCAAACACTCCCTGTCTCCTATTGTTCCTTCTCTGCACCCACAGAGCTTTCCTCCATCCTAACTGGGCCCTGCTTACCTGGAATGAACCTTCTCTGTAATCAACACATCCAGTCCATCAAGCAGAGCTTTCAGAGTCTCCAGATGGGGTGGTAAAACAGGCCTCCTGCAGGAAGGCATGGGAAAGGCCAGGCAAGCACCATGGCCCTCAGGATGTTTGTAAGTCTGAACATCTTCGGGAACATCCCCACAGGCAGGTCCTCCAGAGCAGAGGTGATCAAGGCAGCCTCTCTAGTGCATGAGTGTGGGTTGGGCTCTGGCTCCCATTCTGACAGCTTTTCAGGGATAATGATCCTGAGGAAGCATGGAAGCACAGACAGCATTCAGAAAATTTAGGAAGCCTTTCTTCCTCCCACCTAAGGACCTCTTGGGGCGTCATCGCTGCTGTGGTGATGGTGGAGGTCTCAGCTTTCACATTTTGATCACATTTGAAGGTTTTAAAGTCTGATGTGTGAAGCCTGTCAAAGGTGTGCTCTTCCCCAAGCACCCTATCCACTTCCTACCACATTTCATATGAATTCATTGTGATGGAAAATTAATAACTAAGAGGTATAAATTAGGGTTTATGGCAAGAAGGGAAAACTAGAGAGAACAGGAACTCCACCCAGTAGATAACTCCCTCACTGCAGAGTAAGGGACCAGAGGCCACATGCTGTTCCCAGAAGATAAAGAAAGTCCTAGCCCACCACCAGCTGTGTCTACATCCTCCCTGTCCCATTATCTTGAGAACAAAGAACTAGATGGCCACTTGGCCTGCCAGTCATAAAAAAAATAGAGACCCCTATCCCACAGATATGCTAAGCAACTTGCTCAAATGGATGACAGTTACTGTTCACTTTGATCCATGATGACCTTATAAGGAAACTTTGTACTCTGTGAAATCTCTGTAACCCTAGAAACCTTAGGAACTGAGACTAATGGTCTCAAGCCTCCCTTTCCCTTTCCCCTTTAAAAACCCTTCACAGTTGTAAGGGTTTGCTCTTCCAATAGAGTGAGATCCCAGCCAGTTTGATTCTTAGCAATAAAAACCTTTTGCTTTTGCAGTCGGGAGCCATTTTCTTGGAGGTTGAGGGGTTTCCCAGTAGGCACAACATTTGGGGGCTTGTCCGGGATTTCCCCAGCCTCCCAAGACCCCAGACCCCAAAAGGTTGAGCTCCTGGCCAGTCGGGTGAGTGTTCTATGTCTGTCTGTTAGTCTGTTTGACTGTCTGGATAAAAAATTTCTCTTTTTTTGCCTGTGGTCCAGCAGTGGACATCTAAATCTGTGTGAACAGGTCAATAGCACCTCAGTGAACACACTAAAGGGGTCAGACCTGGAGAAATCTGGGGCACCTCAAATTCTCATCTGGGCAGGGATCCAGCTGAAGGTTGGATCAACCTGTTATCTGAGGGTGAAACACGGACGGGTACTGAGCCACCCTATTGTGAAGACCACCTCCCATCAAATACTGTATGTCAGACCACCTGAATCCGAGAGAACCTGGTGAAGGGAAAGTCTCTGTGTTGGGCCCTCTGCTAACTGTACCGTTTGTGTGGTGTATTTTTCTGTTGCCTCTCCCCTAGAGATGCTACCCCAGATGAAAATTACCATAGGACAGACCCCTTCTTTAGATCTCTGCTTGGCTCGCTGGAAGGACATGAAAACAATAGCTAACCACAATAACGTTAATGTCCATAAGGGTGAATGAGATATTTTTTGTACTTCAGAATGGCCTACTTTCAATGTAGGCTGGCCTCCAGAGGGGTCCTTTCATCTGGACCTCATTAGCAGAGTGGAAGAGACAGTCTTCTGACCATGCTCAGGGCTCATGGACCAGATACCATACATAGTCACATGGCAGGGCCTCATAGAGAACTCACTTCCATAGGTTAAGTCTTTTTCTCTCTCACCATACACCCTCTGCCCCAAAGGTCATGGTGATCATGCTCAGAACTCCCTGAGATGCCGGCACCAAGCCACCAATTCTCCAAGGAGAAACAAATGAGTTTGATAATTTTACACCCCCTCCTTACCATTCTCTTATCCCACAGGAGCCACCACAGAGAGCTGAACTGATAGAGCTGGCTGAACTTCCAATCGGGGACCAGGGAGAGCCAGTGTAGACTACCCACAACTGCAGAGCAGTGTTCCCATAGACAGAAGCCCTCTCTACCCCATAGGGCAACCAGATGAAGCAGGGCACCAACCTTTCCACTACTGGCCATTTGCCACTAGTGATTTATATAACTGGTGCTCTCCAAATGCCCCCTTTTCAGACAACCCTCCATCCATAATTAACCTCCTAGAGACTGTTCTTTTCACTCACCAGCCCACCTGGGATGATTGCCAGCAACTCCTTAAGATTCTTTTTACTACTGAGGAAAGAAACAGGATCCTAGAGAGGCCTTATAGCTGATCCTGAGATTGTAGATGCCAGCTTTCCAACTATTTGACAAAATTGGGATTATAATACTGGACAAGGTAAGGAGTGTCTCCTGGTCTACACCAGGCTCTGCTAGCAGGTCTCAAGGCTGGGGCTAGAAAGCCAGCCAATAAAATATGTCTAAGGTCTATGATGTCAGACGGGGGCCAGAAGAAAGCCCAGCAGATACCTAGAAAGCCTACAAGAAGCTTTCTGCAGGTACATCCCCCTGCGATCCTGAGGCCGGGGAGTCTGAGACAACCGTGATGTTCACCTCTATCGATCAGGCAGCACCAGAAATCAAGAGAAAGCTATAGTCCACAGAAAGCCTAGGAGAAAAATGCCTTAGGGGTTAACGGCAGTGGAGGGAAAGCTTTATGATAAGATAGAGAGTGCAGATGACAGGGAATTCAAAAAAGGAGAAGAACCCAACCAAAGTCCTAGAACAGCAGCAAGCTCATCACCCAACAGAACCAAAAGAGATCCTCCTGGCTACTGGTGTGGGAAAGCTATCTAGAGAAGACGCCTTTCTAGCAAGATCCAGAAAGTGATGGGGACCAGAGGTAGGAAAAAAAACATCAGTGTGCTTACTGTAAAGAGGAAGAAAAATGGATAAGAGGCTGCCCTAAGAAAAAAACAACAGAAACAGGTAGCTGAAGTCTTCCCATCCCTCCTCTAAGGGGGTGACAGTGATTAGAGGGACGGGCTCAGCTCCCCTCCCTGAGCCCAGGGTAACCCTTGAAGTGGAGGGGAGGAAAGTTGATTTTATAGTATTCACTGGGGCAGAAAATTCTGTCCTTTTAAAAGCAAATGGTCTGATGACATATAGAACCACTTGGGCACAGGGGTCACAGGCACCAAACCTTATCAATGGACTACCCGAAGATCGGTAAACTTAGGGACCGGACAGGTAACCCATCATACCTGAAAGCCCATACCCACTTTTGAGATGTGACCTCCTGTCCAAAATAAAAGCCCAGATTATATTTTCAGACCACAGGGCCAAGCTCAGGCATGCAGATGAACTCCAATAGGAGTTCTTCTGACCACCTGACTCTCAGGAATATAGGCTATATCATACTAAGCAAAAGAAACTACACCAAATAATGTCTGAGTGCCTGGGCAGAGATAGAGGGAATGGGGCTGGCAAAATACGAGCCTCCAATTCTTGTGGAATTAAAAGCTGGAAAATCCTGAGAATGTACGCCAGTACCCTATGCCTTTAGAGGCCAAACAAGGGATCACAATACACATCTGATGCCTCCTAGACCAAGGAATCCTAAAGCCTGTCCCGTCTGCCTGGAGTACACTCCTCTTACTTTGGAGTACTGGGATGAAGGGCATTTTCCACCATGTCTGGATAATTGTAAGGCTTTAGAAGTACAAAAATAGCTGGGCATTGGTGGCTCATGCCTTTAATACCAGACATCTGAGTTCAAACCCAGCCTGACCTACAGAATGAGTTTCAGGGCTACACAGAGAAACTGAGTCTCAAAAGACCAATTCATATGAGTGGTGTGTGTGTGTGTGTGTGTGTGTGCACGTGTGTGTGTGCATGTGTGTGTGTGTGCGCATGTGTGTGCATGTGTGTGCATGTGTGTGTGCATGTGTGTGTGCATGTGCATGTGTGTGTGCATGTGTGTGTGTGCGCATGCGTGCGTGCGTGCGTGCGTGTGTGTGTGTGTGTGTGTGTGTGTGTGTGTGTGTGTGTGTGTGTTGCCTTCAGGTACTGACCAATCTGGACATCATGACTAGAGCAAGCCTCAAAACAGCAAGAAAAGGCTGGAATGAGGCTGGGTTGCTACAGTTCCTGTGCTTTGCCACATGTGTCTGGTCTGTGGAGTTTTCCTAAGCGTTCCTTAAATCTGGTTGTCCTGGAAGACTGTATCCCAACAATATGAGGTTTGGTGAATTGAAATGGGTGAGATGAATCCTGCCTGGGTGATGGTGTAGTTCAGAACAACATGAGTAGAACACTCACCTGGCATGAACAAGGTCCTGACTTCCATTTCCAAACCACATGTGCTCCCTAAAGAAACAGAGGTGTGCCTGTAGAGAAAAGGAACGAAGAAACAAAGACCAAAAGGGAAAACCAGAACGAAGAATTCCTTTACAACTTTGTGAGATTACATCCTGAATATGGCATTGCAAACCGGGAATTTTGAGTGTTTGTGTTTTGTTGAGGTGAGGTGAGGTCTTCTGTTGACCAGAATGGCCTTACTTGCCAAGCGTTAGAAATAAAAGTCACAGCCAGGCAGTGCTGGTGCATGCCCCTTTAATCCCACCACTCTGGAGCACAGGCAGGCAGATCTCTGAGTTGGGGGATAGCCTGGTCATCTGAGTGAGTTCAAGACAGCCAGTGCTCCACAGAGAAACCCTGCCTGGAGAAAAAAAAAAAAAAAAAAAAAAAAAAAAACCAGAAAAGGCAGTTGTACACCACTCAGGCTGGTTCATACATTTCTGGGGATCCAACCAAGGCCCGCTGTGTGTTAAATAAGCCTTTACCCTACTCGGCCACATTCCCAGTCTTCAACTATAGATTCCAATGTTCACTCCTCCTGCTACCACCCTATAAGAAAATGAGTTTGAAATGACCCACATAGTCTCTGACTTTGTTGGATCTGAGAAACTTCTATTTGTGTCCTTCTCTTTTGATTTTTGATACTGGATCTCACCATGGAGCCCGGGCCACTGCTGAGTTCTAGATGTTTGTGCCTCAGCCTCCCTAAGGCCAACTACATGTCTGCATCTCGAAACCCTGGTGCACTTTGCAGCATCTGTTGTGATAAAGCGCATGGGGACCTTGGCAGACTCCATGGAAGATGAAGGCGAGCAAGGCAAAGGGACAGACATGCCAGGCAGGCAGAGCTTAGTGAGAAGTTTTATTAGAAATGCAGTGAGGGGAGCCGGGTGGTGGCGGCACTCACCTCTAATCCCAGCACTGGAGAGGCAGAGGCAGGGGGATTGCTGTGAGTTTG